CCCCAAAACCCCAAAACCCCAAAACCCCTCATAATTACTTAAATATAGCAAATCCATAAAACAAAATTTTCCCAGCACGATCCAAAAATGTTAACCCAAGATCCTAAATTTCGCCCTTCCCTCTCAATACACTCACCAAATCCCAGTCAAACCCATAAATCCCAATTCTGACAAAACAGTTATCCCCATGACCTATGCTGGCTAGACAACTCATCACAAAGTCCTTTGACTACCACCATTATCACAAAAATCAACACTACATCCCTTCAAAAACACAGCGGAGCTCAGGTCTTTACAAGAGTGACTTTAAAGACCCCTAAAAATCCCCCATAATTCCCACCACCCTCTTCCATAATTCCCCCAAAACCCCCCAAAACCCCGCATAAATCCCATAAAAAACCTTCAATTTTTCAAAAATTTCTAAAAAAATTAAAATCCCTTAAAGTCTAAAATTCTTCATTTTTAAACCCTGTTCAAAAGTAACCAGGGTTTGCAGAAGGGGGTTCGGATACAGAGGCTGTACTGGGCTAGAGGGGAAGATCTGGAAAGAAGCGAAAGGGAGGTTTCTTGGATGGAAGAAGGGGTTTAGGAGAGTTTTTGAGTGGGGAGATGGGGGAATTTAGGCGGAGGGTGGGAGGATGGAGGGATATGGGGTGGAGGGTGAGGAGGGGAAGGGGGAGGCGGGGTGTATAGATGAGATTGTTGAGTAGGAGTTTGTTTGGAGTGGAAATGAGATGTGAGGGATTAGTATTTTTGATGTTTTAATAGTATCAGTTGTGTTTATAATGCTCGTATTGTGTTTGGTTTTAGTTTTGATCGAGTTTTGCTTTGGTAATAAATATGTTTGGAACTCAATTTGTTTGAAAGATGAATTTTAATGCAAAGGGATATTTATAATATTCTATTTTCTAAAAGATGAGTTTTAATTCTCTTACACATCAATACCATATCTGTAAGATCACTGACGACTTCAAAAAGTTTATAAAAAGTAATGCACAATTTATTTTTTCTTTTATTACTTAGTCTAATTTCTTTATTTATACATAATTTACACCTTAGAAATAGAAAAATATCAACAAAAGTCTTACCAAGGAGACAACTCTCAAGTATTAAATATCAGTATGAAAGCATTCACAACCCCAAAAAATGAGGATCTAGCTTCGAGAGACTTGAAAGAAACTATGATCAGCCAAGTAAACTTGGTTCACTATTAGCTCTAACAAGGAATAAATAGACTCTATTCCTGAACAAACGGTGTCCCTAAAATAGGTTTAACAGCTTCAAAAAGACTTATATCTCTTTACTAAACAAAAAGTAAAAACCAGACCATTTAAACCCATATCAAAAGGAATAAGATCATCTATCTCTATTCCTTCTCTAAAGCCCTCCCAAAACCAACATTTATCTTCACCCACCCCCAAATCTCCCCCCTACCCCTCTCTCCCCCAATCCCCCTAAACCTCCTCTCAGACGCCAAATTCCCCTAAAAAATCAACTCAGCTCCTAAGGCCCCTAAAAACTTCCCAATTCATCCCATTCTACACAAAATTAGAAGCAATCGTACCAAGAATCCAGAGAGAAAGCCAGAAGAAGGAGGCAGAGACTGAACTTTTGGAGGGTTGAAGGAAGAGATTTTTAGTTGGTGGAGTAAATTTATGTGGGAGTGAGGAATTATTTGGTCATTGAAGCGTTTTTTTTGTGTTTTAATGTTGATGGTAGATGCTTGTTTGTCTGAGTGATTAGGATTAGGAGAAGACGGAGTCTGGTTAATAAATAAACATAGTTTTGCTTACTAAAAGATAATAAAATATTAAAAATGAGTCACAAAGAGTACTATAATCTATAATGGTATTAATTTGCAATAATACAGCCAATGTTGCTATCTTTGACTTTTAAAGTTATAGAGGGATTTAATAAACATGTTTCAACTATTAAATATCTCTACGGGGTTTTGGGGTTTTGGGGTTTTGGGGTTTTGGGG